CTATGCAGGGTTTTATTTTTATTTTTTGAGATTACCATTTCAATAGGTGGAGTTTGAGTAAATCAAATTACACTTCATAATGTGAATGTGCTTCATCTAATCAACTGTAGGTTTTTTTTTAAGATTTATTTATTTAGTGAGAGTTTCCTGGAATGTGTTTACTAAAGGTGGCATAAGAGTTTGAGAAGCTCTGCTCACCCACTTCCCAATAAAACTGGTAAAACTTATTTTAATAACAAACATTTAAAGCCCATGGGAATGGTCCTAAAAGGAAATAGCAAATGAAGAACATCTATTTAAGAAAACTGATGAAGATTTATAAGAGATGTGAGAACCTGTGTTAATTGGACTCTGAGCATCCCCTCCCCAACTCCTTCCAGGTCAAAGTGGTGAAGGCTCCACTCCAGACACCTGCAGTCTGGGACACAGGGCACAAGGGCTTTCTTGCTGGGACATCAGGATGTCAGCGTCTCCAATGCTGCTCCCACTTGCTGAAGGGGATTTATTAAGTGCTGGGTGAGAGTGTTTGCAAAGTGGGGACACTGTTCTTTCAGTTCCTGCACATGGAGTGGGGGGCTGACAATACTGGGATGCCCAGTGACTTTTATCCCAGCTCCTGAGATGGATGTAGCAGACATCATTTGTGGGGGGCCAGGGGACACAATCAAGAGGCCCTATGGCTGCTTTCTCTCCCCTCCTGTGACTAATCAGCTCCTAAAATGGGATTGCCTCCCAGAGAGAGGCTACCTATTGGTCCCAAAGCAGCCACACTGTCCTGGTACAAAGATTTTGCCTTTCATGGGGGCAAAGCAATCCATAAACACAGAGCTCTTAGTCACTTTTCAAGGATTAGTTAGGGTGCCAAAAGATCGTCAAGGGATCAAGTGCATGTGGAAGGCCGTTACTCCAGGAACTGGAACACATGCCCTACATGACTCCAGGAGGTCAACGAGCACTCTGACCTTTGTGCCCCAGGGGGTCTGCAAGCAATGGGGATGGTATCTGAGCCATTGTGTTCTGGGGTGAAGAAATGTTGATCAACAAGTAAAGACATACTAGGAAAATCGCAGCTGGACTGCAACTGTTATCCAATTAATCTTTTCCCAAGCCCCTTATCTACTCTTTCATCTCCTTATAAAAAGGTCAGCCAGAAAGAAGATGTTAAGATGGTTTTTGAGGGCATGTAACCTGATGTCTTCTCAGATTGCGGGCCATTTGAATTCAATGCCCATAAAGATTCAATCCTTGTCTCTGCTTATTGGTTCTGGTGGTGACAGGCAGCATGATCACTGACTTTTCTGGTTTCAGCTGCACCGGTGGTGGCTGACCAGTGACATTTACTGAGACTCCCATCTGGCCTGAGGAAAATGCAAATCAAAACTCCAATGAGACACCACCTCACACCTGTTAGAATGGCTATTATCAACAAGATAAGTCATAAGTGTTGGAGAGGTTGTGGAGCAAAGGGGACCCTCATTCACTGCTGGTGGGGATGTAGAGCACTACAGCCCCTATAGAAAAGTCAGGCGGTTCGTCAAAAATTAAGCAGAGTTACCATATGACCCAGCAATCCCTTTCCTGGGTATCTACTCAAAAACACCTATTCGCAAAGATATATGCACCCCTATGTTAACCGCTGCATTATTCACAGTAGCCAAGACATGGAGAAAACCAAAGTGTCCTTAAAGGGAGGACTGGATAATGAAGACATGGTACACAATGGAATGTTACTCAGCCATAAGAAAAGACAAAATACTGACAGTTGTGACGTGGATGGACCTTGAGAATACTATGCTGAGTAAAATAATTCAGTCAGAAAAAGCTAAGAACCATATAATTTCACTCATATGTGGGACATAAAACTGAAAATCGCAGACACAGACAGCAATGCAATGGTCGTTAGAGGGAAGGGGGTGGACAGTGGAGGGGGCCGGATGTACAGTGATGGAAGACGGCTAGACTTTAGATGATGGGCACACAGTGCAAAATACAGATCTAGTATCATAGAAATGTACACTTCAAACTTACATGATCCTGTTAACCAATGTCACGCTAATAAATACAAGAAAAAATTTTAAATAAAAAATATAACTTCAGGAAATAAAAAACACAGTAATAGTTCTTAGCATAAGAGTGCTTGCGGGACTTCCGGCAAGATGGAGGAATAGGTGGACACACTGTAACTCCTCGCACATCCCAGAATAGAACAACAATAATTTACAAACATAATATCACTCAGAACTGTCAGAGGATTTATCTGAATGGAAGTCGGACAGCCAAGAAGTTGAAGTAGACCCATACATCCAGACTGGTAGGGGACGACCAGCCGGGAGGGCACGGGGCTGGCTCGGGTCGGCGGCGCGCGGAGGTCAGGGGAAATTTGGTGCAAAATCGGCGCCACAGCCATCCGGGGCGCAAGAACGCGGCGGTGATCCCTGAGTACGCAAGCAGCGGCTGGGGGAACCAGTGAGGCAGCGATTGTGGACCAGGGCAGAGCTCGCAGCCCAGGATCCCAGGGAGGTGTCTGAGCCCAGGAGAACCGAACTGCTGCCATTGTTCCCACCCGTCCCCGATCCCGCCCCCACCCCCACATATAACGTCACAATCTAGTGACTGAGGTGCCCAGCCCCAGTGAACACCTAAGGCTCCGCCCCCCACCGTAACAAGAGCGACCAGACCAGAAAATAAATAAATAAATAAATAAATAAATAAATAAATAAATAGGAGAGACAGGGAAAGACATAAGACATGTTTCCAGCAGAACAGATCAGTCCCCCAGGACTCATCCTTTTGAGCGACCAAGAAATAGCCAATCTATCAGATGCACAGTTCAAAACACTGATGATCAGAAAGCTCACAGAATTGGTTGACTTTGGGCGCAATTTAGATGAAAGGATGCAGGTTACCATAAAAGAGATGCAGGAAGATACGCGGAGGAGAACCAATAGTGAAAGGAAGGAATCTGAGTCTCAAAACAATACAGTGGACCAGAAGGAAGACAGAATCAACCAAGCAGGAAAGCATGATGAAATAAGAATTCAAAAAAATTGAGGAAAAACTTAAGAGCATCCAGGACACCTTTAAACGCTCCAACATCCGAATTATAGGGGGTACCAGAAGGGGAGGAGCAACAAGTGGAAAAGTTATTTGAACAAATAATAAAGGAGAACTTTCCCAATCTGGCAAAGGGAACAGTCTTCCAAGAAATCCAAGAAGCTCAGAGAGCCCCAAAGAAGCTGGACCCAAGAAGAAACACACCAAGGCACATCATAATTACATTAGCCAAGGTAAAAACGAAGGAGAGAATCCTAGAAGCAGCAAGAGATAAGGGGACAGTAACCTACAAAGGAGTTCCCATCAGACTGTCAGCTGATTTCTCAAAAGAGACCTTACAGGCAAGAAGGGGCTGGAAAGAAATATTCCAAGTCATGAAAGACAAGGACCTACATCCCAGATTGCTCTATCCAGCAAAGCTCTCATTTAGAATGGAAGGGAAGATAAAGTGCTTTTCAGATAAGGTCAAATTAAAGGAGTTCATCATCACCAAGCCCTTATTTTATGAAATGCTAAAGGGACTTATCTAAGAAAAGAAGATGAAGAAAAGACATGTATAGAAAAAGGACAGCAAACTCACAATTATTAACAACCACACCTAAAGCAAAACCAAAAGACACTAAGTAAACAACTAGAACAGGAACAGAGCCACAGAAATGGAGGGCACATGGAGGGCTAGCAGCAGGGGGGTGGGAGGAGGAGAGAGGGGGGAAAAGGTATAGAGAATAAGTAGCATAGAATGTAGGTTGAAAATAGGGGGAGGGCAAGAATAGTACGGGAAATGTACAAGCTAAAGAACTCACAAGTATGACACCTGGACATGAACTAAAGGGGGGGAATGTGGGTTGGAGAGGGGGTACAGGGTGGAGGGGAGTGAAGGGGGAAATGGGACAACTGTAATAGCATAATCAATAAAATATATTAAAAATAAATAAATAAAATGAAATAAATAAAAACAGAGTGCTTGGGAAAAGGTTATTATTTCTTCAGAAAGTACAGAAGCATTTACTAGAGGAAAAATGCACACAAGTTTAATCACATGCAACCAAAGATAATTGAAATCATTGGGAGATTATGTTCAGCCACAAGTAAATGCAAACATCCAGAAACTGCATGCACTGGAGAAAGGACTGGTTCTCGCATGGAAGGACTGGCTCAGAGAAGGCACTGCACAGTGTGGTGAAAGAACAAACTGTTTCCTAGCCCTCTGCACTGCACCACTGTAGACGTCGCAGTGGAGTCAGAATCACACAGTCAACAGTGGTATCCACAGAACAAGGTGATTACTTGTCAAAGTAAACCTAACACAAATACAATCTGAAAAAGAGTGGTGTACCCTTCAGAAAACAGTCTCAACCGCTACAGTCAACATTTGTAGCCTGGTGGGCTCAAATGGGCTTGCAGGAAAATCCAACCTATGCTGCATCTTTAATGTTGAATTCTGAACAACTGTAAAGCTTACTCCTGAGATCAAATGGAAGTCAGGCAGTCGGGTGGTGGATTAGAGGATATTCTTGATGGCAGGGCGAAAGACTGAGGGAAACCAACACACACAAAAGCTCCATGCTTCTGTCTGTCTCCTTTTACACAAGTGGCTTCAAAACCAGTCCAATCCTGTTTCACTCCTGCATTCAAGTTTCATGCAGGTTGGGCCTTGCTGATTTCTAACATGCAAACATAAAGGCAACAGATTGTGGAAAATGTAGTTCACAACATTACACATGTCATATAACAGAATCAGGAAGTGTCACCTCCAAGTCTAGACCTTATTGTCCTGTCACAGGTATTCTCTTCTAAATGCAGGCTTCCTAGTCCAAGTCCCAGCCAGAAGCAACGACAAAAGCAAGGGACAGTGGATGAAAATCATTCACATGGGACTATACTCTGTAACAAACTTACAAATATGTGGCAAATATTTATTGAATAAAATAATACTGAATGTCAACTATCATTGAAAAATTAAAAAACATTTATTGACAAGAAAATGGAATGAAGCTCTTCAGGCCAATGAAAAGGCACTTTTCTGTTAAGGTAGAATATATATATGTGTGTAAGGCATCTTCATTCAATACTTGCTACAGGAAGCCAGATGGAAAGTATGAACAAACTCCAAAGTATCATTTTTTAAATGTTCCTTGATTTGCAGAACACTTACAAAATTACAGAAAAATTGAACCTACTTGTATATTAGTAAAACACTTCCATTTACTCATGGATCTAACAAACTTCAATATAGAAATACAAAGTGTTTATTAACTGACAGGAAGGAAAAAATACCTATTCAACTTAGAAACTCTTGCTTACAGAGTTATCTGCAGAATTAATTACCTCAGTGCATATTTGCAAAAATAAGTGGACTTCATACTACAGAAAATCACTGTGAGAATGAGTCAGTCATAATGACCGTGTATGTCTAAGGTTTATAGTATTTCTTCCATGCTGTGAATTTTGGGGAGTGCGTGAATTAATTTGCACCAGGCTTACATTTAGTAGTTACTGTAATGTGATTTCCTCCCAGGGCAGTTTTTGAGCTGCTCTGAAAGTATTTATTAAAACTTTGCCTTCATTTTCAGTCATACAGTATCTATCCAGTGTACATTCTCACATGGTGTTGTGGGGATGTGAGGCAAAATGGAGGTTTTCCTACACAGTTTACAGTCAATAGAATTCTCTCTACTTGAAGTTTTTGTCACAGCTTTCCGAGCAACTGGGACAGCTGAAGGCTCCCCTATGTTCTTTGCATGTGCACGATGGGCCTCCAGTGTGCGTTCTTACATGTCTGTGAAAGGCTCTCCCCTTTTCCTTATGTGCATAGTAGGCTTTCTCTCAGGTTCGAGTTCTTTCATGGTTTTCTAAAGAAGTGGGATGATGGAAAGCTTTTCTATAATCTTTACATTGACAGCTCTTTCATTCTTGATACTAAACTGGGAGACATAAATGAGTCTTCCATTGTGTCTCACAAATGAGACATAGGGCTTTTCTCCCCTGCATGTCTTTCTAACAGTCCTTACATTTACAGGTCCATCTCTATTCTGCACTATCACATGTGACTGCAGAGCTGAGTGATAAATGCAGGTTTTCCCACATTCTTTGCATTAACAGGGTTCATCTCTACAACGTGTTCTCACATGTTTACGGTAACTACTTGGGTAACCAAAGGCTTTACCACATTTTGCACATTTGTAGGGCTTTTCTCCACTGTGTATTTTTTCATGTAATCGACAGTAACTGGGACTCCTAAAGGCTTTCCCACATTGCTTACATCGGTAGGGTTTCTCCTCAGTATGAGTTTTTTCATGAATTCTAAGAAAAGTGGAATAAAGAAAAGCTTTACCACATTCCTTACATTCATGAGGCTTCTTTCCATCATGAATTTTTTTATGTCTACTAAGATATATAAGTAAACTGAAGGCTTTACCACATTCCGTGCATTTATAGGGTTTTTCTCCACTGTGTGTTTTTTCATGGATTCGACAGTAGCTGAGACTCCTAAAGGCTTTCCCACATTGCTTACATTCATAGGGTCTCTCCGCAATATGGGTTTTCTCATGATTTCTAAGTAAATTGGGATAACGGAAAGCTTTAGCACATTCCTTACATTTATAAGGCTTCTTTCCATCATGAGATCTTCTATGTTTTATGAGATAACTGAGTAAACTGAAGGCTTTACCACATTCCTTACAATAATAGGGCTCTTCTCCCCTGTGTGTCATTTCATGACTTTCAAAGTTTCGTAGACAACTGAAATCTTTCCCACACTCCTTACATTTAAAAGGGCCACATCTAACGTGCTTGATCATGTGTCTTTTATATGTGGTGAGTGTACTCCAGGCTTTGTCACACCTCTTACACTCATAGGGTTTCTCTCGAGTATGAATTTCTGCATGTCTATGTAAGTTACTTGAATACCTGTAGGCTTTACCACATTTTGTACATTCATAGGGCTTTTCTGCACTGTGTTTCTTTTCATGTACTCGAACATATCTGCGACGCTTGAAAGTCTTCCCACATTCCTTACATTTATAAGGCTCCTCTTCATATTCCCGACACTGGTATAGTTTGGGTCCAGTGAGCGATCTTGTGTGGCTAGTAAAAAATGAATAATGCATGAAAACTTGTTTATACAACCTGGATTTAGGTAATTTTATTTCAGTAACAATTTTCTTCTTTTCATTATAGTTTGGAATCTGGCTGAAGGTTTCTCTACATTGACTACCTTCTTTCCTTTTATAGAGTCTCTCAACCATATGACTGCCATAAAAATAAAAGCATATTATTAATACTTTTTAACTAATGATTTATATTTATTAATAGTATGACATTTTTACCATTTCAAGGAAAGTATAGGGTTTCTGCACATACTTACTGTTTGAAATGGCTATACTAATAGCTCTGAAATTGGGCTTGATCATAGAGATTATAAAAACAGTAATATTCACTAATGCTGTTTCTATGTACTGTTTCCAAGTATACTTATTTATTTTTTATACACTAAACATCTAGGTCACAATTGAGAAAAAAAATTTTTATTTTATTTTAATCATTGTTCAAATATAGTTTCTCCTTTTTACTCCCAATCCAGCCCCCCTCCCACCGAAAAAATTTTTGATGAAAGTAGTCTAAGAATCAATAAATTGGAAGCTGGGCTGGTATGATTCCTTTGCCTCTTTTTCAAATTTGATGACATAATAAGATTTTTGGTGGGACACTGCTCCCTCATGTCAGGGTGACTCACCTAGGATTTGTCCCCTGTTTTTCATACTGATCTTCACTGTCATGGTCTTCCCATTTTTCTTCTAAAATACATGCTAGAAAAAAAACATAAATTATTAAAGAATATGAAAAATGGCTAGATTTCAGGTCCACAATGAGCTGTGATCATGCCTAATTTAGTTATCTAAGTATTTTCTCTCCACATTTCACTTCTTCAAACAGCACTGATAAGCAAGCAACACTAGTTTTCTAACTAACTAAAAGAGTAAGTAAGAAGTTGTCATCACTACCTACGGAAGCCAGGTTCCTGAAGGTTTCCTGCATCACATCTCTGTACAGTTTCTTCTGGGTTGGATTCAGGATGGCCCACTCCTCCATGGTGAACTTCATGTTAATATCCTCCAAAGCCACGGAGTCCTAGAACATCCCACACATGTACATACAGGAGGGTGGGTGAGACAGACAGCACTGGGGATCTACACACAAACCATACAAAGTTTGCATATGACACATGGTCTCCAACATTTATTCTATGACTTGGCTGTCAGACTAGTATTTATTAGCCACAACTCACTTCCTCAGGAAACACATTTAATTTGTTGTTACATTTTTATTGTGATCACTTCAAGTCTTCACTGCTCTCTAATGTCAGGGCACAGAGCTCTTTGAAGAAATTCTATACAGATAAAAAATATTTCCAGTTTAAGCACATCAATTCCTTGTGAGAAAACTCTCATCTCCTCTAACACCACATGGTGCAGCCCTACATGAAGCACACTGTCACACCTGCATAAAGTGTTAATGAATATGAACAAAATAAAGACCTGGAAGCTTTTTCATCTATTCTTATCACCAAACACGAGAGACCAGGAGGTCTGTGGAAATTCCACTGGTAACAAAATGCAGCTGGCCACATTGTCCTGAAGTACTCTGGACCATTCGAAGTAGTCAGGTCCACTTGGCCAAATGAAAACATTGCTGTGGAGGAGTATGAATTATAATATGTTTATATAATACGTATTACTGACTCCATTTGACCTTCTTTTGTCTGTCTCATTTCATGGAGCTAGGAAGTTACCAGTGTTAAGAGCCCAGGAGTGAGGAAGGCGGGGCAATTTAGGCCTCTGCAAAATTCCTATATTTGCGAGCCTCAGGGTCACTTCATACCAGTTTTTAGGACACACACACATATACACTAAAATGAAAAAATCACATAAAGTAAGTTTTTCTGGCAGCATTGTAACACTGGGCCTTGACCTTGAGACACAGCTTAAGACTTGGCATTAGCAAGGGCCTTCGCTAAAATCCACAGTATTTAACATTGAATTAGCACATGACCACTAAATACACAAGATGCTGGGAGGTACTGGAAATATCAGAGGAGGCATTTTGTAAAGTTTTGTCTAACCAGTAAGTTCTAACCTGAAACTTAATACAAAATAATATTTAATGTATGAATAGAAAGAATTGATAACATTAAAATGTCAATACTACCCAAAGCAATAAGAGATTCAACAAATATCCTATCAAGATATCAATGGCTTATTCACTGAACTAGAACAAATATTCCAAAAATTTATATGGAACCACAAAAGACACCGAAGAGCCACAGCAATCTTGAGAAAGAAGAATGATTTATTTACTGGTTTCTGTATTTATTATATTGTACGTTTTATCTTTATTTTAAAGTGTATTCTTTTTACTTAAAAAGTAGGGGGGAAAAAGTTACCCAGTCAAGATTTTCTGCAATAACCCTCCCTGTGGTCACCTCACCAAGTGGGGAGACGCGGCAATGCGGGTGCAGGGCTGTCCAAAGACGCTCGTGGAGTTGAAGACTCTGTGAACAGGGACAGACCTGACGCCTGGAGTCACGGCTGCCAGTCCAGCAGCCACACTGCGAGCCCGAGGGTACTGAAGTCTGAGCCCAGTCCCCAAGGGCCTTCGGTCCCCAGACTCCAGACGCGCAATGGAAAGACTGTCTAGTCAGGGAGATTCGGCCAGCCCCTCCTCCTGGCATCTGCACCCGTCTGCACACTCACCATTTCTAGGTTTTCTGAGTCTCCCTGAGTCCTTCCTACAACTGTCACAACCAGGACAGATCACAGCTCCACAGATGAGCAGAAAACGTGGGGTTCCAAGGGCAAGAGAGAAGCAATCACCAGGGTACAGAGAAGGTGCAGGACTTCCGGGTGGCTGAGGAGCGTAGCACCGCCCATCTGCTCCGGCAGCTCCACAGCTGACAGACAGTTCCCAAGGCAACGCCCCCCTCACCAGCCCCCCCCCACCCCCCCCCACCCCCCCCCACCCCGGTGCCTGGGTTACAGTCGCCGCAGCCCAAAACAGCCAGAACTCATCCCGTGCAGGGACATTTGCACTGAAAACATACTGCTGAAAGTCCACCAGGCAACTGGGATCCTTCCTTGCAAACACAGACACTAAAAGGCACCTCACTGCATGCAACAGTTAATATGGCTCCATTTCGATCTTTGTTCACAACTGGAGTCTGACGTGTGGTTTTGCCAAAAAGGTGCACAGGCTCAGACACCAGGGATGCAATCCGTGGGGATCTTTCCAGAACGTCAGTCAGATTCCGGAAAAGTGCCTTGAAATCAAGAACAAGCCATCATTTCTGTGGGGGAAAATATCTTTAGGTGTTTACGAAGTGTTTCTGACATGAAAAAAGTTTCTGATATGAAAATAAAAAGCCATTGAGAATACAAGCAGGTGGTTGTTTTCTCAGTGGTGATTCAAGCACTCTCCTAGGTCCTGAGCCACCTCTTACTTGCAGTTACAGTATTTAATTCCTAAATAATGAAACTTACCAGAAAACTGGGTTTTGTCTAAATAATAATCCCCGATAGGTGAGTCTGTGATGTTGTTAGCATAATGTTCTCTCTGACAACGATGGCATCCCCCACCAGGCACCCTCTCCTTATGGTGGTCACAGATACCGTTTCCAACCATCTCCTCTCCATTCCCCCAGGAATGCTCGTCCTTAGTATTCTCAGAGACAAATAGCCCCACCCAAGTCCACCCAAACTGCAGCAATAACTCGTCATGCCTGGGGACACAGAAGAAACCCTGGAGGCCATCGGACACGTGGAGCCCGAGGGACAGAGCCAGAGCCACGGGTGAGCTCCGTGGAGAGAGACAAGGAGGGCTCGGGTTGCAACCAGCACTCATCACACCAGGTGGACCGCCGCGAGAACAGCAGCATCACTGTGTGTCGCCCTACAGAGTGGGAAGGAAAGTCTGTGGATATTCGACATAAAGAATTGAGAAACGGAGAAGAGATTTCTGTTTCATACTCTTTTCTTCGTCCTCCTTTTAACAGCTCTCAGGAAAACAATCTCCTCGAAACAGTTTTCCTGGAAATTAGTCTGATTTTCTAATGCCCAATATACCTCTGGGTTTTTCGTTTTGCTTTGTTTTGTTTTATCTCCTAACTCTTCATCTTCCCTAATAAAGGACCTTCTGAACTAGGAATGTGTGTTCACTGGGGAAGATGAGCAAGTGTGGTCTCCTCTCTCACACTGTTGAACTTCAGAAACAGGATGCTGAGGAAATCGCCTTTCATCCCTGCCCCTCCACATCCCACTTTTACTTGCACCTGTGGGAACTGAACGGTCCAGCAGCAGCCCTCCCTGGGCAGAAAATGCTGATGTGCTTCCTGCACTAATGGCCGTGAATCCTTCTGCTTGTCAAAGGTTATTTTTTTTTTAAGATTTTATTTATTTATTTTTAGAGAGGAAAGGGAGGGAGAGAGAGAGAGAGAAACACCAATGTGCGGTTGCCAGGGACCATGGCCTGCAACCCAGGTATGTGGCCTGACTGGGAATTGAACCTGCGACACTTTGGTTCACAGCCCCCACTCAATCCACTGAGCTACGCCAACCAGGTTGTCACAGGTTCTTTAGCAACATTAGAAATCTTGCTTTCCCGTGCTGTCCTCAGATTGGCTCAAATAAACGCTGATAAAAATTCTCAAAAAGAAGTCCTTCAGTCACTATGGTCATCATTGTCGACGTGATATCTTCAAACTGTGTTTGGTAAGAGGAGGTGGTTCCTGTGATTTTCATCATGGGAATACAAGGGCCAGAAGATACTTTGGGTGTTGGTGCATCCACCTGCACCACAGAAAACCCATGAGAGCTCAGGACGTCCTGCAAGATGGTCCTCTCAGGCAAAGCGCTCCACTGAAGGAGCTCAGGGAGTCCTCTGAATGCATGGAGAGGGAGACCTTTGCCTCATGATCTTGGAAAGTGACTGTAATGGAATAAATTACCCAAAGTTCTGGAAGGTGCTCTTGGCTCTGAAAAAGAATAAGGAAGAAACTGATCTTTTCTGTGGTTCAGAGCATGAACTAACTGTAAGTGGCAAAGCATCAAGATTTATGTTTGTACTTAAAAAATACTTTTTTTTGTCATGGTCTGCTAAAATATTAACATAAAGCTTGAGGTAATGGTGGGAGAAAAAATCAACCAAATTCTTCTATCTTGTGGGGAAGGCATGAATTACCATAAATAATCATCTCAGCATTTATGTTAAAGATTTGGAAGTATGGAAAATAAGCACCCATAATGAAAACAAGACAGTCATCAAGGAACTTTATTAAAAGTGTTACTTCTCAGTCATTTTACAGGTCAGTTTCTCACATTTCAAAATCTCTAAGTAACGTAGAATGTTGTAGATTCCATTGAGAGAAGTTCTGTTTTTAAGTGTAAAATGATAATGACAACGAGAAAGGAACAGTAATTCTTACAGTAATTCAAACCACTTTAGAAAGGCCTAGTAACTGGAAGGCACTCAGCACCATGTGTGGATTGGCTCATTTGTTTTCATCGGCTCAGACTTCTAATCATGGAAGCACTACTATGCTCTCATCTGCTGACCGAGGCAACTGACACTGGGGGGAGCTACATGGATTGTGTCACTTCACAGCAGCAGGCAGTAGGGCACTCAGATTCATCACCAGGACTCGAAAGTCAAGCACTGCCACGCAGCCCAATTCACCTTTTATTATGAAATTAAGACAAATGGTTCATTGATAAGGTCAGACTCCTTTGTGTGAAGCAGAAAAAGTTTATTCCTCACAAGCCTTATTAAGATCCACACTATAGAATAGATTTCCTTGGGCCTTGGCTGAAATCTGAAGTGGGTTCCACAGAATTTTTTGTCCCTTTTTGGTGCTGAAATCCCGTGGTCACTTCAAGCACAGTGACAGCCAGGGCAGTCCAGCATTCATAGAAGGCACTTGGGAGCAGAGCTTTTGTTTGTAAGATGGAAATAAGGACTTTGAAGGCAAGTTAAAAATGACATGTGACATAACAGCGAGGCTCCAGTGTGTACACATCTTTTTTTCAGAGTGCACCATCCCAAGTGTGTTCAGAACGAGCCACCACAAGTTGTGCCGCAGTCGGATGCAGGTTATTTTGAGCTAAAGACAATTTTATCAACAGGCTGAAGGGAAGCTTCTGCCCCTCCCTTTAGCTACCCAGAAGAACTTGAATTAGGGGCCTTGGCCATAATAAAAGATTATCAGCAATAACCTCTTTTTGATCCACCTCTACATAGAGCTTATTACCAGGGCAAATTTCTATTTACTAAACATCTGCTCTTCTTATCACCCTGCAAAGACCCTTTGAAGACCCCAAGGTGCATGACCTCATCCCTAGCTCAGGGTGTCTCATACACCTGGATCCCTTTTATCACTGAAACTGTGCTGGGTGTGGGTGTAGGGTCTGTGCTGTAGAGTAAACTCAGGAGGGGCTAGAGCAGAGGGGAAGAAGGTAACTCTCCAATTGGGAGGACTCCATGGTTTGTGTCACTCAGTGGGTAGAGCAGCAAAATGAAAATGCAAAATACTTCAATGTTTGCAAATTTGAAGATGAATGAAAACTCCTCTCAAACAATGTTAAACGTAAAAGCACACCACAAATACCTGTGATTCAAATCAATACAAAGCCTCGAGCCCCAGATAACAATGTCCAAAGTCACAACCACATATTGCATATACAAAATTTGCAATGATGGCAAAAGTGATGAGGAACCATGTCTATATCTTTATTGGGAATCACTATTGTTTATCAAAGAGCAGGACATTGAGTATTGCCACCTTCTACTTACTTTCACACCCTCGTGTTTCCTGAAACAGTGTTTACCATGTTTTCACCTTGCGGAAATACAAGTTCTTAATGATGACATCCTTACTCACAAGGCTATACCGTCATGTAAGGATATATTCACCCCCGACTCCCTACTATGTCACATGTCATTTTTCACTTTCCTCCAAAGCTCTTATCACCATATCACAAAACAAAGCTTTACAGTGTGCTATTCACCTCTCTATTCTCACAGAAGTATAAAGCTCCAGGATTGAAAGAACTCATTTGTTTCATGCCTCACATCCAAATCCCAGTGTCTTATTTGTGCTGAATCGGGTGTGTTGACCCCAAGTGGGTGACATAACAAGGGACGTTGAAACATTAGCATCGAGTATAGTCTTTCACCAAGGAAGTCCTGATTGGACCCTTTCTCCCTTGCTAGAATTGCGTACCCTCAAAATTTACCTAAACTTACAGGCTTCTTCTTACTAATGAGTGACTGGGGCTTCTTACAGAATAAGCTTAGCTCCACTACGTTGGTTTTGTCTTCTAGAAAACAATCAGGTTACCACTGCACACGTTCAATACACAGAAACAGCTTGACGACTTCCATAGTCATCATGTCATCTAGCACAAGTCAAACTCCCATAACAGTTCCGAGCAACCTTTCATGTCATGCCCCTCGGTCAGGTGACCACTTTGTGGTCACAGTCGTTATTGGAATTCGTTACTCTATTGGCTACAGGTACGATTTGAGATTTGCAGGTCACTGGCAAGAAGGCACTGAAAAACCATGATTGAAATTTTTGGTTACTAAGAATCAATGAGACTTTCATAACAAAAGTTATAACTGTAAAAGAATAAAGAGTAAAGTATGCCTGGGGGAAAATTACGTGAACCTGACTGCACAGGATAAAATTGACTCAAGGTACAATCATTAAATGAGGAGAACCACAGATATCCACAAGGGGACATTTTCGTATATCCTCTCAGGAAATGAAAAACAATTCTTTGGTGGCATACAACAGCTTAGAAAATGGTTGATAAAATACTTCTATGAAACAACTACAGAAGCATT